TCAGAATCTCTACACTCCTCTTTGCCTGCGCTGTGGGCTAAGGGAGGCAAAATCCGGATCCATCAAAGCAGTGACGGCCTGGTGTAAGAGACGCAACTGGCCGGCCAGCGATCCCACGCACCAACGCGCCGGGGCCGGGACGGATCAGCATTTCCTGTGGTGGAGCCATCCCTGCAACGAGGTGTGGGTGAGCCTCTGTGCACCTGGCCAGCGTCCGTCCGTGTCTGTCGTCCTGTCTTCTTTCTATCAAGGAGCCGATCAAACGCCGTCGGAAAGGGAAGGTCAAAGGCAACGGACGGTACTAAGAATAAGCCATTGCTGGCGAGGGGGACGCTGAAAGTTGAGCTGGTACACTACATCGTTCATCCTGCCGCAAGTGATAAGTGGCAGATGGAGATGAGTGTTGGTTGATAACCCCGCAAGCTCGACTTATTAGCTTGGACATGAAGGGTAGGAGCGGCCAGACGCGCCATGGCCTCTCGAGGGTCTTCCTGGGCCAGGACTTCGGACACCGTCCGTTACGTGAGGCACGAGGCAAAGACATGGCTTGCCGCTTGTCAATAACTGCAAGCCTGCGGCGGCGCGGCGGCGGTGGCTTGCCTGTGCGCCTATGTGCGCCATAGAGGGCGTGAATATCTTGGGTGAGCGGGACGGGTGGTTCCTCAGGGCCTAAAAGCAACTGTGATTTTGAGCGTCAAAGTCTTGCAGGTGCCTGTGCCCTGTAGAGGTGGTCATCAATGGCGTTGAGAAATCTGCGAGATTCGAACGACGCTAGCTCATTCCCCCCCCGTTGCGTGGTGGCCTGGTCCACATGTTTGGGATGTTGGGGCCGTGGAGCAAGGCGGCGCTGGGAGTTCGAGGAGATGGACTCGAGTCAAGGTTGGAACTGTATCGTCTAGGGTCAGGGTCCTTATCCTTGGCCGGTCTGTTCCTGTCCCCGTCTGTTCCTAAAGGGAAAACATCGGCGGGGAATCGGGACGGCTAGGATCCCGGGCAGGGGTGCGCAATGTAGTAGTTCTTGGGAAGTCAGAAGTTCAGAACCCGTGGATCTCGAAAGGCCTGCGGTTTCCGTATCTTGATGTAATGATTTTGATGACAACGTCTGTGCCGAAACTATCATCACAGTTTGAGTTGCGACTGTGGCGCGCACTAGCCTCGCGGAAGCAAGTAACGGTAAATGTGAGGATATGCGAAAGAGGCATGCGAAAGATGGGATGAGACAATGCCCATGGGCTATTATCAGTGCTAGTAGCTTTGCCAGTCACTTCGTGTTCGTATGACATCGGCCGCATTTGGTCAGGTCAAGTCGTGCTGCGTGCCCCTCGCCTCTCAAGAGTGATGTCTCGAAAAGTCTCGCATAGCAAAGGTTTTGGAGTGCGTATTGGGGCATTCTTCAAGACCATGGTTGGTATCTGTAGTTCCGAATTGGAGCGCTGGTAATTAGCTTCTAGAGTGGCAGGCAAGTCCCGGGCCGTGAGACATCATTCTCGACTTTCCTGTCTGATGAAAAGGATGGGCGACAGCAATCCAAGGCGGGAGGGAGAAGCTCAGCCATTCTACCGGCGGCGTCGGCCGGGGAGAGGGCGGCAGACCAAACGGACCTCCACAGCGGGCTGGTTGAGTTCCGCCCACACAAGTGTGTGGGGCAACTACCGGGATACGCAAACTCGCTTGGAGAAAACTGGTGAGTCGTGACGAGGTAACCGAAGCTAGATTTGGGCAGCAAGCGTTCGAGTTCAAGCTTCTTTCCTAGCGGCATCGCCTCGATGCCGGTGTTGGATGGTTGGCTCGACGGATGGACGGTGCGTCGTCGTTGACGAAAAGTGATGGGCACGGTGACGTGACAGCCCGATGCCATTGGAGAAACACCAAGGGGGAGGCGAGAGACGAGCCCGAAAGCCACCGGGCGTTGGGGTACAGACTGTGAAGACTAAAGTTGGTTGTTCACAACCTCGTACGGCCACCATACACAGTTCCTGGTGCCACTACCATGGCATGTGCAGCTCATCGCCAGTAACAGAACCAGGGGTTATAGCGGTTGCCAGAACCAGGCCTCGACTCCGAGTTCCGAGCTGTTGCACGGGAGGGTGTTGAGCCGTGGCACCGTCCCTGTTGGTGTATGGATGTCGCGTGTACAATGGAGATGGCGCGCTGTGTCTCGCGGGAAGGGGGCGGCACTCTCCCTGCGGAGCCGCTAGATAGGTAATGGGTAGCTCTATTCTATGTGGCTGACGGTGGGAGAGAGAGCGAGAGAGGGAAGAGTCGACGGTCAACGAAGAGCATACGCTCCAAAGTAAGGTTGGTTGGTGGCAGCTCTGAACTTGTGTGCTAGTTCATCAACGGCAGTTTCAAGAGCGTCTCCGGCAGGCTTCTTGCTGTGGCTGACTGCCAGCCTTGGACTCCAAAATCGTTATAATCCCGGGATAAGGCGGCAAGACAGAAGCATTTGTGCCCATCAGTGTTCATCTGAGGAGGGATAGAGTTGAGAGAGTCTGAGTCCAAATGTACCGCATGTATAGAGGAAGTGAAGCGGGAGCCAAGCTCGTCTGACAGTCGCAGGCCCGTTGGTGCCCGGGCTGAGCTGGTTCACTGAGAGTATGTCAAGAATAGCAACAACCAGAAAGTCATTTAGTTATTGCTTGTTTTGATTAATCAGGCGAAATCATGCCATTCCCAAACGAGAGACGACGAGTGGGAGGACGGAACGGCTTGATTGTGCCCCATTTGGAACAGACGAGAAAAGTGTAGTGTCTCTTATGAGTCTGGTGAGTAGGTGGACAGCTCAAACTTCAAGGCCGTGAAGTAACAATCGCATGCTCTGCGATGATCCAGCCGGTGTGCTGGCGTGAAAGAGTTTTCTTCCAACCCCCCCCCCCCCCCCCCCCCCCCTTCTCTACTTTTGCCTCTTGATCGTTGAGAACAGAGCTTTCAACGGCATGTTTCTACTCGGCACCGGTGCCCATCGTGCGTGCACTGGGGATAAGGCGGCAAAGAAACAAGTGGCATCCATGCTGGTAGATCCTTGTTAGTCGAGCAGAGTTTGTTCCCCTCTCGGCCCCAAGCGACGGTGGTGGTGTTGGTGTCGATGAAGAAGAAGATGGTGGTGGGTGAAGAAGGGAACGAGATGGTGGTGCTAGGAATAGCACGGCATGCTCCGTGCCGGGCGAGGTACGGATATCAACTCAAGTCTCGATGGCCCGAGGCTTGTTGCCTCCTTGGATTCGTTGGCCCATTGGACCATCAGTCCATTGGAGTGACTCGAGCGTTGGTACGATTACTCGAGGATTACTGTGTATCCGTAAGAGCAGAGGGCTCAGGAAGGGACTCCCAATATCGAGGCTGGATGCTAGATGCTGGATGCCGGGATGGAGAGCAATTTTGCGTCGGCTACATTCGCCGTGGTGTACGAAGTATCCGCAGTCCGCACAAACAGGTCGGCATTTGGTTGATTGAGGAGCAGGGAGGCTTGCTGCAAGTGGGATAAAGATGGACAAGATCGTCCCCCCTGGGGCATGGTAGGAGACTAGGAAGTCTGGCACTCTGGGTCTCTATTCTGGGAGAATGGAGAATGGCCAGAATTGAATGCTGGGAAGGTCACCAAAGTGTGAAGAAGAGCGGTTGAATGGTTAGCTTGTCAAGAGGGAAATGCCCGCCCGTCTCCTGTCTGCCACTCCTCCCCCACTCAGCGTTCCCAATTGAGGTGTTCTCTCTACGGGGTACGTACTTCTCAGAGCTCAGGGTCACTGTCACCCTGAGCCTTCCATGAGGTGAGTCCCTGGCACCTGCCCTGAGTCCCTAAATGAGGCCTTAAGACTGAGGCAAGAAGTGAGACGATGGGAAAGTGGAGAAAGTGCGCGATGGATGGGAACTTGGGTAAAGATACGTACCTTATAAAAAACCTAAGGTACGGAGTACTTGGGGACTGACTTGGATTGGAGTCGTCGGGTTGGGTGGACGGGTGGATGTACTTCCGCGTCTAATACTGTGAGGAAGGTACCTAGACCTCCCACCTACCTGCTTCCTGTTGCACTTCCAATATCAACCAAGCATTTTGATATCAAAATCTCTTTGCGCTTTCTTCATCCACTCAACAATGGAAGGTATCAGGTCATGGCTATACTGTTCTGCTGTGGGCAGTAACGATGAGATGCAACGCTGCAATAATGGCCTGAGGTACCGTTGCAGAGAAAAAAAAATGTGCCTTGCATGCGTGTAAGCCATAGTATCCAGGTACTACTTCTCTCGATGAGATTGACTGTGAGATCGGCGCCTGGAGCCAATGGCACTCGGCAGACGGCACTTGCCTAATCTCCTGAGCCTTATGCACCAATGGATCAAGGTTCATTGCCAGTGTACGGAGTACTCTGCTGTCTGTATCCGTATTGTAGGGTTTTGTTCAACTTCAGCCGTCTTTCCATGATCCCAGGGGCCAGGGCACCGGTCACCGGTGCCGGAGTCGTGCAAGGCCAGCCGCCAAGCAGGTGAAGTGGGAGGGTGTCGTGGACTCGTTGTGGGTGCTTTCCGGACTCCGGCTTTATGGCACTGGTATGATTGATTGAGATGAGGTCTCGCAAAGGCCAGGTTCCGTACGAAGTACCCCGTGCCGCAGCCCAGACACCTTTGGCTTAGGTAAGGCAGGCAGGATTGCTGCAAAAACTGAAAGACTACAACAGTTCACTCTTTCCTCGACTTGGAGACTGGAGTCTGAGTGTTCCTTCCCAGCTTCCCTCCATGATAGTGGGATAATATGGAGCAAGTACGTAGTTACGTACCCTGGAGCCTTGGAGTCTGGAGTCTGGATTACGTACGCCGCTAGTCCCGAACCAGACTAAACACCTTCCTCTGACAGGGAGATCCTCCGATGTGCCTCCGTACGCACCCACAGCTCCGTGCTTACTCGGTCTCGTTTCTTTCCATCTTCAGACTTGACTTCGACCTCTCACTACGGGGTACCAACCCACCATGCCAACCCCGACCCTAGACGACGCAACAGCTGGAGCCGAAGCTGGATATGCCAATATGGGACTTGACCTGGACCTCGAGTCTGGACGCTGGGCGCTGGAGCTACCTTCGAATCAGACTGGTTGACTGGATCCCGACTACTCGCTTTGTTCCATTCTTTCTTTCTGCCAGATCCCACATCCCTCAAAGTCTACCTTACCTCTTCATCAAAGTTCAACAACTTCTCTCTTCTGACAGATCCTTTCAACTACCCACGCGGGCACTTCTCCGCCCTCTCCAATCCTATCAACCGTCTCTGACTCCCTATTATCCGGATACTTGCGAGTACTCTGTACACCGTACATACGGTCACATTTCCGCATGTCCCACATGGTGTACGAACCAAACTCGGCAAACCCATCCGTGGCAACTTACATTCAAATCGACATCAAGCCATGGTTCGTCGTCGGCTACAGGCGTTTGCTCCAACTCAAGAATCAGGGAGAAGCCACGACTTAAGATGCTCCAGAGCAATATACATGCTACGCATATGCCGGAAGCTCAGCCGAACCCTGAGTTTCAAGCCGTTGAGTTGTTGGGCGTCGATCTGCAACCAACTTACAACGTACGAGTACCACTTGCTGCTTCCGAGTCCAAGGAATCTCGAACCCGCACCGTGCCGGACGACATGGTCATGGCTTGATGTTGCGCCTCGGCCATTCTCTCTCTCTCTCTCTCTCTCTCTCTCTCTCTCTCTCACCACTGACGCCTCTTCACTGTTTGCCCACCCTAAATTGCTCAACACGATGCGTATGTCTGTCGTATTTTCTTTCTAGGACCTGGTAAGCTCTCAACCTGCGGCTTGGGATCTGCGTCGGCGATTCAGAGACGTGCATCAGTTCCTTGACCACGGCTGGCAGCGTCTATATTTTTCCCAGGTCTGCGCGAAGTATCTGGCACAGCCGGCAGATCCTATAGGTCGCAAATCACAAGATACCACGGTGGCAAGCTCATGGATCATGCCTGGCCCCATGGCCCCTCTCCGTTGCGCGCCCACGTTCGCATACCTCACGCAGTATGTACGAAGTAATACAGTACGGATACACCACACCCTAATACTTCGTACACAAGCCGATGTGCGAGCGAGCCACCCGACTATTTCAACGGCCTCAACCGAACACAATTAGACTTTTCCCACTCGCCTGGCCTGCCGAAGCAACCAGCCCGCACGCCCGCTCTTAGCCCTTGGGATTTGAAGTGCCGGCTGCACATCAGCAGTCTTGCACCGCACGCCGCACTGCCATGGCTAGAAAGCCACCACTGCAACCCACGCATCTGTCTCCAGATCGTCAGCGGACAGCTCTAGCACCGAACGCCGCTTTAAGTGCGACAAAAACTACAAAGCACATCACCCAATTACCTCCAAAGACGCTCACACAACGCAGTGAAGGTATCCGCACATCCACAGTTTCCACGCTACGGCAACTTGCTTCTGCACTCTCGCCCTGCTTCTGCCGATCCAGGAGCCGTCGGCCCCACCCACGCCGCCAACCATTACTTGGTCCCGATATCCGTCTTCTCGGGGTCTTTAAGAATATAGGTATCAGTACGGATACTTACAAGTGCGATGACTAGGTAGACTGCCTCATCATGTAGGTTTGGCTGGCACGTCCAACCAAACAGTTGAGCAATACGTGTATCATTCCTTCCCGTTCGCCACGTTTGTCCGGTTTTGGCAACCAGAAGCCAGGATCTCTTGGAAACTGGGCATGCCAGGCAAGATTCAGCGAAGGGGGTTCCGCCAGCCGGGGATTTTGATGACGACCGCCTCCTGGGCTAGTGGCAGTGCTACCGAGCCCGCAGATTGACAAGCTCATATCCACAATCCACTCGATTCGAGGGATTCCGTCCCCGTAACTCCTGATCAGTCGGCAACATCCGGATGTTCCCAAAAGCCCTTAAAGTGGCTCCATCGAGAATCATATCCTCGCCATGTCACGACCATCCAATTTCCCCGAATCATGTCCCACAAGCTCCGTTCCTGACGGAGAACACGCACGGATGTCGCTCGCCAGGGGAAATATCGCCGTGGGGGGGGGGGGGGGGGGGGGTCGTCAACGCTAGTGCCCTGGGTGACAGGGCCACAGGATGGCCAGGCCTGGCCTCGAACCGTTGACAGCGAACCCACGAACAGGCAGCGTCCCAATGTCATCTTGCGGCTTGCCTTGGCCCGCGGGTCTTGAAAAGATTCGCTGCTCACTGCTCCGATGCGAAGCCCTTCGACTTCGATCAGTTGCCCGGGGGTATATCTGCAACGGCCAAGTTCCCGCTTGGATACCGTGGATACTGGGAAACTAGCTAGCCAGGCTCGGCTTCTCCAACATGCCATTGTCAAATTAAGCTGGCGCTACGGATACCTAGGTCCTAAGGTTACGGCCCAGTGTCCACCGTTGGAAGAGCATTTCAGCGAGTGGCCTGCCCAACAGCATCCGTTCGGCTTGAGCCCCGAGAGCGGCTGGTCTTTGCATGGCTCTAGCAGGCCGCCCCAGCAGAAAACATCGAAATCGCTGCCGGTGGCCGAAATTTCCTCCGACATGCTCGCCAGGACTCCCACGTCCCTCGTTTCTTTTCCTACTTTCTGCCTGACTGCCACGCTTTTGGCGTAGCATTGGGCCCCGTCACGGCAGAGTAGCCTCGCAACCATCATGTCACGGGTGACAGACTCCATATGGGTAGTGTACGGAGTACGGACACAGATACCTACACAGCACACTACCGGTACGGATAGACTACGGCTGGGCTGGGAGCCCTCAGTTCCTGTCTGCCTTATGAACCCCCATCAACTAGGTATACCTACCTATACCAACGGTACATGTCTCAATGCATCGTGATACATGGGCTCTTGCTCGGTCAGTCAGCCGAGGGCGAGCAAGCCGACACGGCCAATAGCAAGACTTCAATTCCCCGGGCGGTGGTCGATATCATCGTGGTTGCGCAAGATTTGATCTCGCCAACCGCGTCTTCCCGCCCTGGAACGCTCCGCATCCGCCATCATGTGTCGAGAACTGGTTAATTGCCCCGGGCCCGGTGAGGCCCTGTCCTTGTCAAAATATGCTCCTGCAGCACGCAGTGCGCTATTGCACAGGCTTATGAGCTAGATGAGCTAGGAGGGAGAGGAGACTACCTAGCCCGCAGTGCGTGAGTGCGCCCCTAGCCTCTCCTGGGCAAAGTCGTGCCGCAAGAGACGATCCCTCCCCCTCCTGATGGCCTTCTTAAGAGGGCCACCACTCGCGTGGGCCGGGGATGCATCCATGAGCACGCCGCATCCCACTTCCCGAAGCTCATGCGCCCGGTCAGGTTGCGTGTACGTTTCCGCTGTATACCACGGCACACAACGGCCAACCTCACGCTCATCACATCCACGACAAGCAAACACAAGACGCAAATGAGGTTTCCGACCCCTTGGCTTGCTTGGCCCTCTACTGTGGCGCATTCGACATCACACAAGGACGACAGCACTCACAATGGCTTTCTGGTTCTATTGCGCCGCACGATTGCTAACGTCGGTCAATTGTGATGGACAACCCAGGACAAGTGACTCCCATGTCAGGTAGGTAGAGCTGGTCATGCCGCCATTCTACCCCCGAAAGCTTCGACAGGGCTTGTTCGCCATGGGGTTGGGACGTCTTCCGCATGTTGCGGGTACTTCGTGCGAATGCCACATTGGCGTGGTCGGACCCGGTTACTACCCCACAGGTCCGCATCAACAATTGCATCTCGAAGGTTGTTCTCGCAAACATCGATATCCCTTCTATTCATTTTAAACGAAGCTCTTCAACCATCCAACATGCCGACGCTAATGTCTAGGCCGGAGTCGTCTTGGAAAAGGGGCAAAGAGTATGGATATCGCTCGACGGTCAAAGTCAATGTTTCGCTTCCTCCAGCTACTTAGAAGATGGGGCGTTCTAGTCATCCTTCTCAGCACCATCCACATCCTTCCTCCGCCGTAGGTCGGTCACCGTACCACCGAATACTTACCAAGGGTCCCACGGTGGTGACTGACGATTGGTGCAAGTCCCGTAGAAGTCGCCGCTTCGTGGATTGGTGATTCGGCCATTCACGGCCTCTACCTCGGAGGTTCGCAACTTGGCTAGCTTTCCCGAGCCACGGTAGAGGGCTGCGTGACGAAAGCGCAGATCAGTGGCAGATGGTAACACGGCAGGTGCTCGCGTACATGGTGCGGCTGTACTGTACAGAAGCAGATTGGATCCATTTCACGACTCGCTGCGTTCCGGCCGGGACGGTATGTTTGCAGCAATGTAACGCGATCCCCGAGTCGTACAGCACCTCTTCAACAGATCGCCGCCATTGATTCCGTGTCAATCGCAGACAAGAGGATTTGCCTGACCGGGGCCATGGGTACTTTGAACACGCAGGAAGCCCATAGGACAAGCCCATGTCAGCAAGGTTACAGTATCATGGCAATCGCTTCATGTTCAGAACAAGACCACGGGGCATGGGGACGACGATGGAGTTACTGACGTTTGTCGTACGTCCGCGTTTGTGCACGCGACCGACAGTTATCATTTTGACTTGGTCTGGTCACGATAGGACCCTCCTCGACTACGCCATCCCTTGTCCGCCCCTTGGTCGTCAATGGCTCTTGTTGCCGCGGATTAAGAGCATAAGCTATAGTCAGGACGTTTATCTTAAAGGAGCCGTGGAGCCGACGCATCTGATCACAACCGAATGCCGAATCTGCGGATAGGGAAGATCGGATCCGCACTTTTTTGTATGAATATTAATAGCCAAGCTTTGAGGTTTGGTCTGTGACTGGTTTCCAACGTCGAGTCAACCACCAGCAGACGGTCATCACTCCAGTGTGGTGCTAAAACGATTTGCTAAATCAACTATTATCTCAGAGTTCTAAACAAGCCCAGGAGAACCGTGTTTCCTCTCGGGAGAGTTGTCAAGAATTATCCACAACGGACCGCAGACTGAATGTCGACGGCGCGATTGGCGTACCTGGCAAGCTGGCTCGAGCTTCCCAAGGGTTGTCGGCCCAGATGAAACATGACAGCCCGGAGTGGTAACTTGCCAGGTTCCATCCGCGAAGCGAATCTAGAATGCAGTTTGTCTGAATACCACTGGGTGATAGCCGAGAAGCCTACGGATATACAGTATATACTAGCACGCCAGCATGGCCTCGACGGAGCTCTGTCGAAAGTAGCACCTCCTCCTCACCTCCATCTACACCCTCTTGAGGGGCATCGAAACGGACCATGTGCAGCGCAGGTTACACTACAAGCATCGTTGCAGCAACCCGAGTTGCAGACAAGCCCAGCCTCGGTCAATCACGGTGCTCAGGAGACGCCATCGACCGCCTTCTGGATTCGAGGTGCCATTCGGTATCTCCGCCGGGAGGGAACAGCTCCTGGGTAGCGTGATGGGCAGCAAGCAGAATGGTGTGCAACCCCGCAAAGAGCAAAGAGATTTGGTGGTTCCGGCTGGCAAATACTCTGCCCACCTCAAAACCGTGAGACTTCTTGTCTTTTCAGCAAAGTTGTCCACCAGTCCGGTCAGAATCACCTAGCCTTGGTTATTGTCTGAAGAGACTATGTTATGGGCCATGGTTGAAGAGACCGGACGAGGACAAATTGGAAGTCGGCACGCCATGTGACACGAATGTAACCACCAATTCAAGGACGGGTGCTGGCAATATCGCATCGC